AAAAATTAGTTTCATTTAATGTGTAGTCTTCGAGTAAATATAAGAAGTCATGACACGTCAATATTTTATACAAAAATGTTAATAATCAAAATTAACAATAAGTATAAAGACAGCTCTCAGAACGCGTTTAGCTCACAAATTAGCAATACCGGACTGAGTTTTTTGTAGTTTATGGCATTTTGTTATCTTTGATTCCAATGATAAGTATTTAGTGCGAAAAACGCATATTGCAACGTATTTTTTGCAGTCTTTACCGGCGTGTGTGATTATAGATAGCAACAGTGTGCAAGCGAGAGGTGGATAGAGGCGACGCCATTTTCAATCCCATTCTTTAATCGTACAGGTGGTACGTCCCACTGCTGGGCACAGACCTTTTCTAATTTCTGAGAGAATTTTAGGGCAAGGAAATGTCCGCCGCGCTGTCCCAATGCGATTTGGCGAATTTCACATGTTTTCGAAATATATTTTTTTCTTATTTCTCAGACATGCAGGTTTCCTCACGATGTTTTCCTTCAATGTCGAGCACGTGGTAAATCAGCACTTAAAATTGCAATTAAAAATTTTATTGGTGCCGGCGGAGATCGAACCCGGGTTGCTCACATACTGTGAAACTTACAGCGAGCGCTAACCATCTGAGCTACCACGGCTATCCTTAGATACGAACAAACACAAATTATTAATTTTTGTTTGTTCGTATTTGAGGAGTCGTTTTTTATATTCAAAAGTAACAAGTACAAGACATAGAACTCCTATGGCAGTTATATATTGTTCAGTATTATTGTATCAGTTCCAAATGACATTCTTCAATTAATTAAAATACATATTAGTTTTTGTCTTAGGGTACATTTGACCATTGATTAATTCATTGTTCAAACTTACTAGCGGATTTTTTCACTACCCTTATCCCTATCACGTTCAAGTATAGCCATATCCAACGCTTTTTACATTTTAGTACCTACGGATTTCAGAAAGTATCATCCAATCAAAAACTTCATATTTGTCGAATAACGCAGACCACTTATTGAAGTACTTAAATACTCAATGCTACGCAGTGTCGTGTTGTTTTTAATAAGGTTCTGTCGGTATACAGGGCTCGGGGGTCCCGTTATATCGGGGCGGACGGCCAACCTATTCATGTTCAATGACGAAGAAGAGGAGAATGGTGATTTTACAAAATTCAGTGTTGTGAATTGAATTAAATTTAATGTAGATAGACGACTATGACGTAAAATTTTGATTTTATGAGCTTTTATACAGGAATTTCCAACCACAGTTTCCAACTTGAAACGGGTGCCGCAGTAAGGACAATTTAGTGTCCCACAGGAGACTTTCTAAAGTTCTTACAGTAAATTATCATTACGTAAAAAGTTTTGTGGTGCGCTTTATATACAAGCACGCACCGTAATATGCTGTTATGTTATTGCTCGTACGGAGCGGCCAACGTTAGCGACCCCAAGTTAGCGCACATATTTTACGGTTATAAATTTATTCTAATATTATACAATTCTGCGCTGTGTTGTAGAAATAATATGATAATATCATTAATAAGTCACTGGACATAATAAGTACCTGTATAATATACCTTACTTATTTTTTATATCTTCAATTAATACTATGCACCATTTACATTGCGTTATCTATCAAATCTAAAACGTAAGTAAATTTGAGGTGCATTGCTTGAATTAGAAGGTACAAGTTGATTCATTAGCTAAACAAATTGTAAAGTACTATGTCTGTTATGTTCAATATATTAATTTTCAAAAACAGAAAAAATTTTCTACGTGGTAGAGCCATGCTGCAGCTATATTATGGTTGTAGCACGAATGGGTCGGCTCGACCGGGGAAGGACCACGCTCTCACAGAAAACCAGCGTAAAATAGCAGCTTAACGCTGCTGTGTTTCGTATGGTGAGTGTAGAGAACCGGAGACCCTTTTTACTGGCAAAGAGGCATTCCATCTTAGTCCTCACGAGTGACAACGCATCTGCATCTTGAGTCTTTATTGAGGATAGATGTAGATGTCTATGGGTCACAGTAACCACTTACCATCAGGTGGACTGTGCTCTCGTTTGTCACCCGATCCTATAAAAAAATAACTATAAATGTATATTTCTATAGCCCTTATTAACAATTGTTACTTTATTTTGAATTAAAAACGTGCGTACCTATATGTCAGGGATTCATCATCATCATCATTACAGCCCTTCACAAGTCCACTGCTGAACATAGGCCTCCCCCAAAGAATGCCACAAAGCACGGTCCTGAGCCACCTGCATCCATCGACTTCCTGCATATCTTACCAGGTCGTGTCAGGGATTGCTTACCGATTTTATGTGTAATTTTAATGCAGTCCAAACAGTAAGTACTTGATTCGCGCGCAGATTGAACCAGCGGCTTGCAGCGCTGCAGAGTGCAGACCTATGCTCAGCCACATACCACTCTACCGAGGCGAGAGTACAAGGGACAATCCATCCATCCATCCATTACAGTCTAAAAAGTCCACTGTTGAATATAGATCTGTCTTATAGATTATTTCATAAGGGGGCTTTTGCTACAGTTCCCACGCTAGACAGGCGATTTGTTATACATCATTTACAATTGTTATCAAGAAGACGCTGCCGCCCATCTTTTGGTTTGTTGGCGTTATGGGGTAGTGGATATACTTACAGTGTAAGAATACGGTTAAAAGACAACATTTCTTGTGTTCTAATGAGTATGCCTGTATGTACTGTGTGTTTTACAGTATTGCGGTTGTCCCAAAATGAACAAAATATACAAAAGTAATCCTTTTATATATAATGTTTTTCAGAATTAAAGAAAATCCATACTCACTGCTTTTATGTTACTAACTCTCAACCGCAAAATCCGTTTCTCTTAAGAAGGGGATTGTGGCGGGATAACGTCGAAACTAGTGTTCAACTGACCGGTTAGCCTCATACGGCAACAATAGGGCTTTAGTTTGAAGTTTAACAGCAAAGCCGAAGGTTTTTCGGCGCCGTTTCACATTTATAAATTTAAATTCGAAATATTTATTGTAAATTAAGTGTTACATGTGATATTAATTTAAAATATGATGCGTCTTACATCTTAACCACACTCTTCGGGTGTTACAATATTTATTATATTTAATAGGTCTGTGCCCAACATAAGTTACATACTGAATAAAGTTGTAAGTTATAACAGTTATACAATTAATTAAAATTATAAAAAAAAAACGAAATAATAAAACAAAGAATACACATGTAATAGGATTTATTGTAAAGTATTTTAATTTTGCAGATATTCTTCCAAATTGTAAAAACAGCTTTATATATCCAGTTTTTTAAAATTATGTACCAGCAGCTATGCAGACCTAGAGAGACCAGTATCATTGCAACCAAAAACATCTATTGTGATCGCTGCTATGTCCACAGTTCACTGCTAAGCTCTACACCATAGTTTTCCAGATGACTGCTGCGTTTGCACATTAAGGGTCCGCAATTTATAAGGATGTGTACTCGTAAAGGCGTTTCTTCCTCTAGCGAGCAAAACCGGTACATCCTTGAGTTGCTTAGTCCCAGGATGGATGCTTTTTAAGACAACAGTGTCCAGTCAGAATTTACGATCGAAAGCCCGGATTAAGGTTTTAAGCCTGGTGTATCAGACCAGATCTTAAGTGATTTATTGTGGTAAAGAGTTTTAAGGGTCAATCGTGCGAGGCTTTTTGCGATTCCATAAAATGGCTCAGGGCCAAATTGTGTACTCCTTGAGCTCTCCCGTGCGAGCTTGTCGGCAGTTTCATTGCCTACAATACCCGCGTAACCCGGAACCCATCTCAAAACGACCTTGTTGTTACCTCCCAGGGCGTTTAGACGGTTCACGCAGTCTACAACTAGATTCATGTTCACCAATTTGATATCAGCGCTAGCAGTGTTGCTTGACTATCAGAGTTAATATAGATTATGTCGTATGTTTTTGCGGATTGATTTCCACACACTGAAGTGTGGCGAAAATTTCTGCCTGGAAGATAGACGTGAATCTACCCAAATTCATACTAAATTTGAATTTGGGGCGTTCCCCATAAATTCCAAAGTTTACGCTGAGGCCCATTTTCGACCCATCGGTATTCCATTTATGTAAGGCTACCGACCTCACAGATGACCTGTCCATTCAGCCAGTATTCTCTAAAGGGTAGTTCTTCTATATGTACTTTTTGTTACAAGTATATAGTGGACGCATGATATCTGTTGACTGACCTGTATTTTCTTGATTGAGTTGAGCATGCATCTCAATATATAGGAAAGCAAGCTCAAACCGCCATGAGCGTTAATCCTATACAAACTAGCCTTCGCCTACTTGTTTAAGTAAAAATCAAGGGGCGCTAGGCCTAGAAGTGCATTAAGAACCACTCCAGGCAATGATCGCATCGCTCCAGTTGCCATTAGCAGGCAGTCATGTGCAAACTATTTAGTCTGTCCGCAGTCGTCTTTTGGTTGGCCTTGTTACACCAGACAGTGGGGGCGTAGGTAAGAATTGGCCTCACTATATTGATGTACAGCCATAGCCATACCTTCACGTACCTAAAGCAATTTTAGCCTTATAACATACATTGCTAAGGCGAGAATTACACGTTAGTTTTTGGTCGATTGTTACGCCCAAGTACTTAACTTCAGTGGAGAATGGTACTTCTTTACCATTAAGTTTTGATGTGACTAATTTGTCCAACCATCTCTTTTTGTCAAAGCGTATTATAACAGTTTTATCAGCATTAACTGATAAACTGTTGATTCCTGCACCAGTTGTTTATGATGTTTAGGGCTCTTTGTATGATTAATGATAAAGTACTTTGGCAAAAGCTCCTCGCAATGATCACAAGGTCATCAGCGTAGCCCAGTGTGTCAACCGCAAGAGTCCAAAGGAGAGGTGGCAAAACACCAACTTGTGGACAGGCTCTTGTAGTTGCAATCTCAATCGAAGTTTGAAACAGCTCTATTTTGGCCTTTCTGTTTGAGAGCATCGACATCACCATTTTGGGTCAACATTTTTAGATGTCAGGCCCCCAACCAGCAGTGATGTAGGGCTACTGTCGAAGGCGCCCTCAACGTCTGGAAAGGCACAAACAGCTATTTCTTTATCCTCCAGCGCTTTTTCGACGCTGTCAATAACACTGATCAGGGCCGTTTTCGTAGATTTGTCTCTGCGGTAGGCATGCTGGTTGTAGTGTATAAGTTTCGTAGCTAGAGCTGGATCTCTAATATATCTATCTATTACATTTTTCCAATGTCTTAAGAAGAAAGGAAGAAAGGCTAAAGGTCTAAAGGACTTTGGTAAAGCGTAGTCCTTTCTACCAGCCTTAGGTATGAATAGAACTTTGACAATTGTCCATAGTTCTGGAATATATCCCCATACAAAACTTACACTGAAGATTTTAACCAGATAAGGAAAAAGGATATCGATACCTATCAGTAGATGGATGGGCATTATTCCATCGTCCCCACTTGTCTTATATGGTTTAAAGCAGTCAACAGTCCACTGCACCAGGTTTGGTCTTATTATCTTCGTAGCCCTACACCAGTCCTCATTACAAGGCCTTCGTAGGGCTCTGAAAGATTTCGAGGCCAGAGTCATATGTGACCCTGGGAAATGGGTTGACGCTAGTAGCTCCAATGTTTCCGTTTCACTATTTGTGAAGTTACCATCAGGCTTTTTAAGAAGCCCGATCTGATTAGGTTTAGCTTTCGATAGCATTTTGTGTAGCAGGCAAAGAATCAACTTCCTCAAATAGCTTCCTCCACGATGTTTTCTTAGCTTTTCTAGTTTCTTTATTATAATCGATTAGGACTCCACTATAAATATCCCATTCTTTGGTTTTTTAGCCCTATTGAATAGTTTCCTGGTCTTTTCCCTAAGCCGCTTTACCTTAGTGTTCTACCAAGGAACTTTTCGTGTTGAGTTCTTGGTTTTGACGAGACAACTGTCTTCGAAGGTTTCACGAATACCTATGGTTACCGTCTCCGCCGCTAACTTCAGACTTTCAATCGTTTTTATGCTTTTAGGAAACGTTTCCAAGTTCCTCCTAAGGCTATATCTATAGACATTCCAGGAGGTCGCTTTTGGATACCTAAAAGCAACAGTTTCATAAGTCGGTGATGCTCTAATCATAAACTTAATGTGTCTGTGATCAGACATCGAGTTTTCACTACTAGCATGCCAGTCAGTAATCCGCCTGGATATGTTATTGGTAACAAAGGTTATATCTAAAACTTCGTGCCTAGCGCGTGTTACAAAGATTGGTGTACACCCTAAGTTTAGGCTTACCAGGCGATTGGATATGAGTAGTTAGAATAGCGATCCGTCCCGGTTTCACACGGGTGATTTTTGTATCTCGACAACAGCGCCACCTGCACTGCACACAAAAAAAAATCATTAAAATCGGTCTAGCCATTTTTGAGTTTGTGCGAGACTAACGGACAGAAATTGATTTTTATATATAGAGAAAATAATGGATGTAGGTGACTATGGGCTGCAACATCCAAATTGTCAATTATAAAAACTTCTGTATGCTCGCAAATCATAGTTAGGTACTGGTTAACATTGTGTAACATGTGTACCATACCATATATGTATTTTTTTCTTTGTTAATGTACACTTACGACTTTACAGGTGCCATGGTTAAGTATTATGAAATTATCCTTTATAATAATTTGTTTAAAAACTACTATAAATATATGGATGCGTCACGTTGCAAAGTTTTTGGGAGATTTTGATGGCAGCTAATGCTAGCTAATAGCCTTAAGCAGACTTAATAGCGCTTAAGCAGACATAACTTGAGGTCAAAATTATTATCGAAAAAAGATAGAAAGAAAGAAACATCGTGCGTGAATCGGGCAACTGTTTTATCGATTACACTAAAAGTTCACATCACATGCACAGATATATAAATATACAAAATCGCACCATCTTTACACATCACAAACAACTTCAAACCATTATTTCAACAATATTAAAGCAGCACAGTAATCTGTCTAATTCTGTCGGTGGTCAAGTTCCTGCCAAAACTTCAAGCATAACTTCAGTAGAAAGGCAAAATGTCATAAAACCAACTTTATGTGAAGAAAATATAAATAATTTGCTTGTTTCTACCAAAAATTCTTATTCTTTATATGTGTTTTTAAATAAAATAATTTTTTAAAAGGAGTATAGGTTGTAATAAATTTTAACTCTGTGTAACGTTAACGTAAAGTTGAAATTTATTAATAAAGCAAACAAAATTAAAAGCAAAAAAATGTTTGTCATGAAATGTTCGGCTAACATATGTGTTTTTATATAAAGGTGATTATAATGTTAAGAACAAAATTATTATAAAATATATCGCGGTAGCTCGTGAGCTAAGAACTCGCCGTCAGTTTAACGATACGCGAGTAACGCTGGTTTAATCCTCCCCGGCGAGTTATACCGTTTGTCCACTCTATATAATCCACCCCAGGGTACTAGGATCCTAGGAACCTAGGGTTGTGTGACACAGTAGTACAGTCATTTAGAGGAACATGATAAAAACTGGCCGAAGATACTTCTTGTTTGAAAGGTAAACGGTGAAATAAAGGGAGTAGAGTCCTCACGGGAATACAGATTCATTGGAATCTTGGCATAAAACATTTAAAGTGAAGTTAAAGACAAACATCCAAAAGTAACGTTTTTGGAATAACTTTTTTCGCTAACACATCTGTTGCAGCGAAGAAATTTATAAAACGAATGCAAATTTCGATTAAAAGTGACGAATTTATGCAGGATATCAAATTACGTCTACACAGTAATGAAATTAGTGTTGGTAATTTCCTGGAAATATTTCAGAATGAATAAATTACATAATAATATTATTTAAAACAAGGAAGTTTAATTTGATTTAAATGCAATACGGCAATAAGGTAACGGCAATACATAATATGATTTTTTTTTGGTTTGTGTTAAAATAATTAATAATTAAAGTGTATGAGTTGAACTGTACTTGGGGTAAAAAGTTGGAAGAATAAATAAAAATGAATTCCGATTATCCACCTCGTCTGGAGTGGATAGATGAACGTTACTACTCTAGGACTGATAAACGGAATAACTCGCGCCTGCATAAATGCAAATGTTTTAGGTGGTAATTTATCATGTACTCGGAAGAGAACATGCATTTTTTATAGCATAAGGGTGACAAGCGAGCACATAGTCTACCTGATGGTAAGTGGTTGCTGTGGCCATAGACATCTACATCTATCCTTGTTTGCGAATAAGAATGCAGATGCGTTGTCAGCCGTGAGGACTAAGATGGAATGCCCTTTTTCCAGTAAAAAAGGTGCTAAGGTCTGAGAAATAAAAAAATTTGAGATGTAGTTCGCCAACAAGCACTCCCTACCTGTAAGGCTTATTCGGTTATGAACTACGAACCAAAAAAAATATTAAATACCCTTTAAAGGCTTAAAGTTATATTTAACATTTAATTATTATAATAATGAAAACCATTTCAAAGTCTAATGTACTTTGAACAGATTTTATAAAACAGTGTTTAGAAATATAATAATACACGTATCGCTCGCAAGGGGTCAAAGCTCACCCTTTCCTGCGTCGACAGTACGTAGACCTTGGCACGCAATTGTAGCAAGCAAGTTCACGCCGTATACGTTAGGCTTAAGCTAATTAAACCCCTCTGACTCAATATCATTTAGTTATATGTATGTATTTATGTAACCATGCGACGGCCTCCCTCTCGAGATGAGGTTATTGACGGGGAAGGTGCCCGATATATCAAGCCCGGATAGTAATATATAAAATCTTACATGGTAGAGGCACAAAGCAGCTATGATATGGTTGTAGTTTGAATCGGTCGGTTCGAAAAACCACACTGTCACAGAATACCAGCGTGAAATAGCAACTTAATGCTGCTGTGTTTCATATGGGGAGTGTAGAGAACCGGGGACCCTTTTTATTGGAAACGAGGCAACAGGAGAAGAGCAGCAGCATCTTCCTGATAACAGCTTAAATAATAAAAACCTGCGGCTGCAAACCCGCCTGACAAGTGTGGCAACTATGGAAATCTATGAAGGAGGCCTATATTCAGCAGTGGACTTTTATAGGCTTATATATTTTAATAGGCTGTAATGGATGGATGACGTAATAGTTATCTTGGATGATTTAAAAAAAATATATACTAAATTGGCTTCAATTATTATCGAAGTAATTATTGTAAAATTATACTCTTTTGGTAAAAAATAAAAACAATTGGCTAATTCTCGGAGATATTATGTATGATTTTTTTTCTATACAGTCGATAACCAATTTCTTTTCTGAAGTCAGTTAAAATACTATTTTTATTTTTAATTAGATTTAGAAACAGTAGTATTACGAAGTCATCGGAAACACGTGAATTTTCGTGAAATTATGTTCAGTTATTTCTATCACAAGCATTTCGCAGGCGGAGGCTAAATTATTTGTTTTGTAAATTTATTGGTGCGAGACGATAATCATAATAATTTATTTAGACTACCGTAATGAATTTTATCTTCTAAAACGTCTGGGCTTTGCCTAATCAGTTAAGTATGTTATTATGGTATATTGATATTTCCACATATTTATGTTCCTATATAGTTCTCCTTTTAACGCATTGCTCCATCAGCACTACACAGAACTATGGGCTTAAAACCTTTCAGTATGCAGTGGCGTTGCATGGATTACTGCCTGCCGTTGGAATTTATGTCATTATCTAAAAACTATAAAGTCAGAAAAAGTCTTCTATAGACTTAGATTATTGTTTGAAAATGAATAATTATATAAAACTAGCGATTCGCCCCGGCTTCGCACGGATGATTTTTGGATCTCGACAACAGTGCCATCAACCGGGTCCAAATAATTGTGAACCTAAACCATCTAGGGACCCACTCAAACACACACCAAAATTACATTAAAATCGGTCCAGCCATTCTCGAGTTTTAGCGAGACAAATGAACAGCAATTGGTTTTTATAGATATAGATAGATATTATAGTATTTTATATTATACTCGTATATTTTTGTACCTTTGTCATATGCAACTATTTGTATTTGAATCAAAGTAAACCGGATACTAGTAAACCGGAGTCAATAGCTGGATTATATGACTTATCACCACACTATATTGAAGTTAAACTTCTTTTGGGGCGTTTGGGAAAAATGATGAGAGTGAAATTTTTACGATGCGCGCGCACTCCGACATCTAAAAACGACACCATGAAGTTGTTATGATGCGCGCGCTCACTGACACCTAAAAGCGACAACTTTTGTGGGTAACTGTGTCTCTCAAGTTTCCATGAGAATTGATTACTATATTTAAAGTAGTTATTGACATATATATGAATCTACAAGACGTGTTTTATTTATATAATTGTAGAAATTGTATTGATATTGTAGTAAAAAACTCATATCTGAAAGTTGTGTTGTCATTCAAAGGTATAATTTTCATTTGTTTTTTAGTAGTAAAATCCTCATAATTACACTATATTTGGTGACGAGGACCTTATTCACGTATTATTGAGTGCAATAAAGTTAAATAGTTAAAAATAAATAATGTCAAATAAAGGATTGTGTTCTTCAGCACATGCATGGCAAATGATTATGATGATGACACTGACAAAGTAGGAGTTACGAGAAGAGGTTTTTGCTCACATAATTAGCAGAAGATATATATCGCCTAGTGCGCGATTTAGTTTTTCCGTTAAAACTAGAAGACTTAAT